CAGTCAGCATAGCTCATGAGCCTTCAAAGTCTTCGGAGTGTTTCTTACCCACATAGTCCCAGATGGTAGAGGAAGGCCACTTTTGGATAGAGGTGGCACACTGAAAGAGTATTTATGGATGTGGCAGGCCCTGCTCCTTCTTTCGGGTAGGAGGTACAAGGCAGAACACCTGTCTGTAGTGAGATGAAGAGCCTTAGAAAAACAGCACTTCTTAGCAGCAGCAGTCACTACTCCCCAGTAAAAAAGCGAGTCCAGCTGCCCAGCATCACTTCTGTTTCCATCCTTTTTTTCTTGCCTTATTCATGGCAGGATCAGTCTGCAATTTTTATCATCTCTTCCTTCGTATGGGAGCTGTGCAATGGTCAGATGCCTCCTGTTTCTCAGAGTACACAAAGGGTGACAGCTGGTCAGTCTGCTGGCTGGAGAAATGTAGTGGGAACATACTAAATGAAGGAGAGGTGGGTAGGGACCTAGGAAAGATCTTTTGCCAAAAGAAATGAACTGATTTTTTTGCCACCCTGCAAAGAAGGCGGTAACAGTGCTCTTGTTCTTAAGCAAAACTGATTTTTACCTTTCAGCCAACCCTGAGCATTAGTGACTGGAAAACCAAAGGCCCCCAGAACAGCTTTGACTTTTTGGAGCATGGTGTGCTATTTTGTCATTAGGAGAGATTGTCTCAGTTGTATAAACTCGCTGTGAGAAAACCTGCTGAGAACATTAAACATGTTGCTCTGATATTCCAACTACCCCTAGGACTTCCAGCTGGAGGCTACAGAAGTGTACAGCAAAGTGGCCAAGCAGCTGGTGAAGCAGCAGAAGTACAGTGAGATCCGGCAGCTCCTGAAGTGTGTCAATGAGTCTGGAGTAGCGGCAAAAAATGATGGGGATAACATTATCCTAAACTGTCTAAATGAGTTCAAGAATATTCCTGCTGAGGTAATTCCATCCTGCATTGTGTCCCTTTTGAAGTAAAATGAGTATATACACTACTGCCTGCTGGGAAATCTGGTGCCTGTGCTGCTCTTCTAGTCTTTCAGATCTTCTGGCTCCATACTACATGCACAGTTTAAAGGTGGGAGTGCGTGGTTTGCCCTATACAAGGTACTCTGAGAGGAAACAAGAAGTAGCTGTATCATGCTCTTACCCTGCACTTCCCAAATGAATACCCATGGCAGGGAGAGAACCTTTGCTTCACAACATCCTACCAAATGCTGCTGTTTGGAGTGGGATGTGTTCCCTTCAATGAAGCTTCCCTGGCTAACACAGAGAATGTGTCGAGGCAGAAACCTCCTGCCTCCGTAGGAGGCAATTTTATGATTCCCTTTGCCTACCACAGTGTTTTTTCCATCACAGTGAAGGAAGGTGCTGCACTCTACTGTTCTACTAATCAGGTTAGGGGACACAATCTACCCTTTGGATCAAGGTGGGCCACATGGCCCAACTCCTGCTGCGATGCAGAGAACCTACAAATTCATTTCATGTAACATGAGCTGTGTCCCTGGGGGACTCCCAGGCTCATAGCATTCTCTAGGGATGCCTCATAGACGTGGAATGCAGGAGAAGCTGTGGTAAAGGGAAGAATTGGAATTTGTATTTTTTTGTGTTTTCTACCTCTGCAGCCTTTGCAGTTGGGACAGTGTAACCACCTTGCTGTGATCTCAGCAGCCCTTTCAGTCTACAGGGGTTTGATCCCTGATGGGGTAAGAGGTTTGCAGACTATTGTCACTTTAAATGTGAACACCTTTTCCTTTCTTTGGATACAGGATCTCGATAATCTGATTCAGGATATGGACAGTGATGAAAACAAGGTAAGTAAAAGTACTGTAGAGCAAGAGCTGAGCAGCCAAGTCTTGGTCTACAGCCTATGGGTTCTCTTTCACGATCTTCTTTCTCATCCTCGTCCAAGCCAGGTTTTTGAAGGCTACTTCCTAGATTGTGGATATCATAGCAAATTCCTCAAGGCCCTGGCATTTGTGACTGTAGAGCTGTGACATGAAGGTACCAATTGGTACTATCCCTGTTAGCAACTTCAGAGTCCTCAGAGTGAGAGCTAGGCATTTGTTATAGTGGGAGGAAAAGTATTTCAGAGAGGCACGTTGATGGGTTTGTTGGTTTTGCTACTCAGCTTTTCACATAGGTGCATTTAAGTTTCTAGGAACGGCAGACAGCTGATGATGACCATTTCAGCTTACTGTTTCAGGATTATACTGTTTTATGTTGATCAAGAGTTAGATAAAACTTCTCCGATTCTGATTTTTTTTTCTCTTAGAGAAAGTGAGGCCTAAACTACTTTGTTTCTTCACTAGCTTTCATTGCAGCCAGCCAAGCCACTGGAGCGTAACACATAAATATGTGAACTATAGATAAATGTTTGTAGAGGCTGTGGCTCAGCGTTCATGCATTCTTGTAGATCCTGAGTGGCGTAGCTGGGAATGAAATGTTAAGATTTGTGACTGTCCTCTGTCCTGCTACAAACTGGCTTTTAATTGTGCCATTTTGTAAGGTCTGTCACTGAAAGATGGGAGCTGTTCTAGAAACAGCAATGGAAGAAAATGACAGGTTTAGACTCCTTGCTATGAGGATATGGTAAATTAATGCACAAGGTAGGATTCCTGATGCTATTTTCATGGTCTTACAATAGAGGAGTTTCTACAAGACACAAACTTAATAAAATACAGCTGTCTGTCCACCTTTTTCATTGGAATTTGCTTTGTGCCATGCTCTGTTTGGTAATATGGTGCTACTACTTTTTAATACAGACTTCTGAACCGGGTATTTCCCGTGAATCCTCGCTTAGGCTTGTCCAGTCAGTTTACTGCAGATTTCTAACCAAGGCCTGATTGCCTCTTCTGCTGCAGATCCAGGCCTACGTGCTGTGTAACAAGCTGCGCTCTGCGTATCTGGTCTCGGTGAGGCAGGAGAAGGCCAGGGCGGTGCAGCTGGTGCAGCACGTGCGGCAGCTGGCCGAGAGCAGCGGCGACGACGTTGTCAAGGCCATCTGTGCCCAGTGGCTCTCAGTGCACCAGCCCAAGATGAGAAATCGGCTTCCCCAGGGCACCAGGAAGTAATAAGTGATTGACATTCACCATCATACAGGAGGAGAAGGCTTCAAGACAGCTTAAAGGTGTCTGGTTCAGTTTCATCTTGGTAAAGTGGAAGTCTCTTGACTCATGTTGGTGGGAAATGGATGCTGCTAATGTGCCTTTGGTGGGGAGGGAACTAAATTACAAGTGCCAGTCCTGTATTTTGACACAGTCACTACCTCAGGGCATTTTTTGGCTCTTTTTCTGACAGAGGGAGGGGGGTAGTTTCAAACTGAACAAGCAAGGATTTAGGTGTATGGAGAGAGCAGTTCTCTTTCTGGTTTTGGCTTTTGGTTTTTGTTAGTTTTTAATTTTTTGGGGGGGTTGATATTTTTTGAAAGCACTGAACTTAATATGGGGTTTATTTTTAATCCAGAAAACATGTAGAGAGGACAGAAAAATTTTATCAACTCAATGTAGTCTAGAGGATATACTTTGTGATTATGGGTTTCCTGTAAAATTTTTCAAGATTGAAGAGATCTTCTGTTACAAAGACTAAAATTCAGAGATTTTTTTAAGCCTCTATACAAACCATTGCTACTTCTTTTTTTTTTTTTTTATTCCCTCCAGTAGTACAGTGTACCTAGTTTTCCTTTGTTTGTTTGAAAAGGTAGGAACTGATTCTTTATAGCAGGTTTGTACTTACCAGTCACACTGTGTGATGTGTGCCATACATATGGCACTTCAGCCCCTACTAGATGAATGAAGTTATAAAGGGCATATGCTGTAAAGGGGAGTACAAAGGGAAAATAAGCCTTTAAAATATTTGAAGAATCACGTACCTCTTTCTTTGCTATGGCAATACCCAAAAAATTGTTGTCATGCAGCTTTATGACTGAGTAGTTGACAGTAAACTTCCACAGTTTTTCATCAGGTATAGCAGAGAATATGGATAAAGCAAGCTGTGGCAAAATTCCAACAGCATTGTATCCCTGTCACACAGGGATTTATTTATTTATTACCAGGATAATCTGTCGTTGTCAAGTACAATAGAACACCAAACTGTACCTATTGTCTAGACAGGCTTTGCTCTGGAAGTGTTATGTGAATCAGTTTTATGAGAAAAGCAGCAATTTTTGTGTAATGGTTGTGTAATGAGGGATGCTGAAAAAAGCAGCTGCTTCCCTGTGACTGTGATTGGGACATGAAAAATTGATAGAAGTGTGGTAGATAGTAATATGACTTTCAAAAAAAAAGAAAACCAGAACAAAACATGGCATTCCACAACAGTTTGTTTTACTGTTTACATGTAAAAACAGAAGTAGGAAAACTAATTCAGCAGAAGTAGGAAAACTAATTCACTTTTTTGTTAAAAAGTTGTTTACTTAAAAGAAATGACAGGTTTTCTGAAGTGTAACTTAATTGTAAATAGTTTTCGTACATAAAATAATTGAGACTGTCAAGTAAGAGTTTTGCACTAACCCCAAGCTCACTGTAATGAAAGAAGAGGCTTCCATGGTGTTGGAAAGGATTTGGTCCATCTTCTTCAGGGTTTCAAGAGCAGTGCCCCACTGACACAAACACCTCTCTTTGGAGGTACTCTGCTCACTAGAGCAGGGCAAGAAATGTCTGAGTGAAGCAGTCAGAAATGACCACATGGAGCTTTCAGAATCCCCTGACCACAGATTTACCTTATCCCATTAGTGAGCAGTACTAATGAAAGCTTTTGTTTCCTTGGCCAGACTGACGTAGCTTTCCATCAGCTTGTGACTCTACCTATGTTTTCAATCGTTTTTAAACCTATAAGGTTTTATTCTTTGTGGGTGTCGAAATCTGCATTTCTGTAACACCACCTTTTCTGCTCAAGTTCCTTCAGCTGTACAGAGCACAGAGTGGAGTTTGCCATGCAGACCTGTCAGTTTCGTACCTGCCTTTCTTCCTGACCTCTTTGCACTGTACCTGATGCACTTTATATAGTGTTTGTTGTAATTTAATGTTCTTAACCCAGAATCATAGGGATCTTTCTCATACCAGCAGAACCTCAGATTTTGATCCTGACTAACTGCCTTGTGTCACGAGTAGTGCAATTATCAAGGGGGTTTGAATTTTTGTCAGCAAAAAGGGATTGACTACTGCCAGTTAAAAAGAACTTCTCTGTTCATGACTAAGGTTTGTTTACAATGATAAAAGAGAATAAAGTATTATGACTGTTAATGTATCTCCTGTTTACTTTTTATCTTAGCATAGCTGGGGCTCTCTTTCTAGATCTGCATTTTGCTTTTGGCTAGGCTTAGCAAAGTATTTAGAAGGGGGATAATTTTTCTGTCATGCCAAATCTGCTACAGCGTCCTCAACATTTAGATCAATTGGAACGTCACATCTTTAGAAGTCCTCCCAGAAGCTAGGTAGCTAGTTCAGCCTCATACGTGCACTTAGTAATCCTCTTCAGAGCTTTGCTAGTTAATCTAACTGTCCCTTACAGGCTTCCCTTTGAGACAGCTAAATGAGCTTTAGTTCCCTCAGTTTTGTACAGATCAGCTGAGAAGTATAAATGACTTGCTCAAGGTCAAAATGAGTGGGTGTCTCTCTATGGAAATATGTAGTCTAATATGTCTTAAGTTAAATCTACAATCACTCTTCCTTGTGAAGAGCATTGACCTGCAAGGGCAAAAAATAGTTCACACTAGTGACACTTTCTGCTTTTAAAAAAATGGTTTCTCTTGCTCCTGAAAATTACTTTCAAGATCAGAGAATCACACAGAGAAAGCAAGCCTAGTCTCCAATGCTAGGTAGCATTCTACTGCTACGTTGGAGTTGTGGATTTAGCTTCATAATCGGGATGAAGCAGAAAGAGGGAGGGGGAAAAAGGTACAGCGACAGGGAAAAACACAAATGGACTTTGAAATGTTACCTGAACTGAGTTCTCTACATTAGCAAGGCAGGGGCTGGTAACAGCAAAACCAAGTAAACTGATTCAACATTTCTGAAAGAAGATACGGTCTCCTGTTGTAAGAGGAAAATGGCTTTATTTAGTGTTGCTCAGAGGTAGCACAGGACTGATCTGCATAGATAACACCCAGACAGAAAGAATTAAAGTTAGCATTTGTTTCCCAAAACTGGCAGTTGGTCACAATGGCAGGCTCATATGCAAATCCAAAAATTTCCAGACTTTTTCAAAAGCAGAAGATAATCCAATGAGATGTGGTGCTTGGTTTCTGACTGCTTAACTCTTTCAGAAATAATCTGATTACGGATCAGACTCTAGCAATTGCACCCAAGTAGCACTGGAGTTCCAAGGGAGCAGTCTTGTTGCTATGTGGACTGACCCTGCTGACCTGTGGAAGTGCAAGCTGTGTGGTCCTGCTCAGGCTGACTGCCAGCCAAGGCCAGCCAAGGCCAGTAACTGCTGGGCAGACAAATGCCAGGATTTCTGTAGATCTTACCTTCCTGTGCTGTAGCTGGCTCAACCATAATAGCACAAAAAAGATAGTTGTTTAATATTTTTTGACATGGTTCAGATTTTCTTTACTCACTCATTCTCTTTTCTAGGTTCTAAAGTCCTTTAAAGTGCAGCTGGGGGGCTTACTGTGACAATTCTTATACCATCTTTGCTCAGTGTTTTACAGGAGAGATGTTGATTTCTTTAATAAGATAACTTGGCCATGCACAATTACAGTGCTCCTGCAACTTTCTAACCTCCCAGCCACCTCCACTGAGACCTGGGTTCTCAGAAGATGTGCCCAACCCTCAGTGAACTCACTGCAATCAATGGGCACTTAGGGCCAGGATACTGCAGTGGCTAGGGTCCAGCTACTTGGAGAGAATTATTCCACTTAAAAATGTTACCTATTGCTTGGCACAGAAAGGCCCACACCTGTTTCTGTGTGCTTGTGAGCATTTGTATTGCATTTACTTGTCAGAAATTCTAATATCCTAGAGTACTTTCACTCTGCCAGGTCAAACTGTAGGAACTGAACATAACCTTCGATTGTAAGTTTAGAGTCCTACCTTTTCACTATTGCTGTTAGAAAAAAACCCACAACCAAACTTTATTTAAGGTAATTTTTTTTCATAATCTAAACCTAAGACTGCAACCTCCCTTTCTATTCTAAAGCCAGAGGACAATAGCCTTGGGCTGCTGTGTGAGATACCAAGCAAAGGTTGCTCCCTGCATCAGTGCTTTAATTCTCCAGCTAGGAAAAGGAGTGATTGCTTACAAATCTCAATTCTTAAGTGTAGTATTCCAGAAATTCAAAGTAGGTTATGCCCACAGAGCCATCACTGGGGCAGCTGAAGTACAGCATTCTACTCCTACGGTCTCTCAGCAGTGCTCTTCCCCAGAGAGGCATCACTGGACTCAGCCAGGTACACACAAGGTCTGTGCTGCTCAGTCCCACTGGATGCCGAGGAGCTCACAGCTCACGCTCCAGAGCTTCCTTGCTGTCTCGTCATCCCGGCCGCGAGGAGATACGTACGCTGGCTGGCAATCACTGAAAGAGGAACATTCTTTTAATTTATTAAGTCCAAGATCTCCATCTGCATTAGCACACTGAAATGTCAGTGTCAAGATAAGGGAGTTGCTTTCGATCAATTTAATTCAAGACCAGTTGAAGAACGGTGGGAAGCTATCCAGCAAAGGAGTAAGGGTTGGTGCTAAGCCACCATGAGAAAGCTCTTAGGGCAGAATCTCTCCCAACAGCACCAAGAACTGACAAACAAGTCTAGTTTTATCTGTTGTTTCAATTCTTAAAGAAACCTCTTCAGTGTACATTCTCATTAATACCACTAGAAAGGGGTATTAATGCTAACCAAACTTCTTCAGGGGCACCTTTTCTAGCAAACACTACAAAAAAGCCATTCAAACAGCCCTTCATTCTAAACTGTTTATCCCATCCTATTCATCCCACGATATGCCCAAGAATAATCATACTGTAATAACCATGCATGGTTATCCCCTTTTCCATTATCCTCTAAACTGTGGCTCCTTTCTTCTCAGCACTCTGTCTGGAATAGAGATCCTGTGTTCTCATCTGTAATGCTAGATTGTGCAATAAAGGAGAGTTTCAGAGCACAGAAGAAATGGCATCTTATAAGGTTTCCATTCAGCCCAGTGTTTTTAGAACTCCAAGTCCACAGTCTTTGATGTTCCTGAAATGACTCTGGTGGACTCTACCTGTCTTCTTGTAGCATGCAAATTTTTTTCTTAATGACTATACTTGTTCTTTATAGTCTACCGCCTGGAAAGTGAAAAGGATTTAAGGCTAGTCCAATGTTAATTATGAATTACTGTTGAAGCTACTCATTTCCCACAAAGTCCAAAGCTCCTTTTTTTTCTGAGTTTAAAATCCATCAAAGTTTTCTGCACTCCAGCACATAAATGCTACATTTTTATCCTGGGATGGACAGTCATTCAGGGAAGATAAGGACACCTATTTATATGTTCAAGTCTGATTAAGATACTACAAGCTCCCAAATAAAGATCAGGCAAAGTCATTACAGAGACTAATCTGGTCACAAATCGCAAGAGGAAAGCTCTGCAAAGACACAAAGGCTCCAACAGCATCCAGGGAAGGAGGGTGAGGGGAAGACAGAAAAATTTTCACATTCATTTCCCAAAAAATGAGATTGTTACAGTGCTCTACATCCAGTGGGAAGCTGACAGACATATCAGCTTGAATCTGTTCAAACAGCAGTCTTAAAATCTAGGATGATGATGATTTGGAACTGCTCCGGGCTGTAGTTTAGGTGATGGGAAAAGCCATGACTGTGCAGGGTCCTGGAGTAAGTCAAAATAGCCAAGAAATAACAGGTTTTGTAGTGGGAGCTACACAAGACCATTTGCAGGATAGAGTGACACGCAGGAGTCCCTGCCACCTAGTAGGTCTGTCATGCTGGAGAATCAAGTTATTTTGTCACATGCCAGACCTGAAAATCTCACCTCCTAGCTCTGCATCTCCATCAGCCCTCACAGCTCCTTGGGAGCACAGGCCCCTTCTGCTTCAGTGGGGTAAAACTACAAAGAGAGCCGAAGTGGTCTTTCCAGAACTGACTCAAGTGACCTCATTAACTAAACAGTTCTACAGAAAAGTGACTTTTCCCAAGTCACAGATCAGATGAGAGCTCTGAGCATGTGATAGCCATTCCTGCACTTTGAGTACGTTGATATTCCTGGCACTAAAGGACCTGCTATTGTGTGAAATGTTACATAGGTCAGGGATTTCTTCTAACGCAGTGGCAACAGAGCTGCAGAGGTAATGTTCTAGTATCTGTCACCCTCAGTCTTACCAGACAGCCTCATACTCAGTCCCTTTTTAATGAAGAAAGTAAGTCTCATTGCCCAGTCAACAGGGTAGCCTTTCACAGAGTATCACTTCATCAGCTTGCACCCACCTGAAATACTGTCCTGTCACAGAGTCGAGTTCCTCAGCTACTGCACAGTAAATACTCGTCTGAGCTCCTTCCCAAGGTGTCTTCAAGAAGAAGGAGAATATCTTCCACAGCCAAGTCATTACAAATGAGTGCCGGACCAAGTCAGAATAGACAGAACCAGGATGGAGAGCATTTGCTGTGACTTTAGTGCCTAAGGCAAAATAAAGTAGTTCAGGACAAATCTTTATGCATCTAAGTGTCTTTAAAAAGAGGGCAATATACTCCTCAATTCTACTTGCAGATATTCTGTAAGGAATATCTGGATATTCTTAAAGAAGGAGTGCAGATGTGGACACAGAGAGAGCTAAGTGAAGTCCTCTGTAGTTACCGCTTGCTGGATGTGATGGATACACTTTACCTTTTAAGCAAACCAGCAGTAGTTTGCTAAAGGCCTGAGCCCTGTCTGGACCAAGAACACCTCTAGAAAATCCACAAAGAGGACAGTGAGCACCAGTGCACAGGAACTTGGAAAAGCATCGTTCAGTTAACACAAGTAGCATGTGGCTTTTCCAAGATTGATTTATCAAGGAACAAAGATAGTTGTGGTGAGTCTAACATGTACCTTTCCCACTGTATGCAATTTGACTACAAGCCAACCACTTTATTCCATGAGTATGACAGCCTAACTGAGCCTTCTCTGAGCTCTCCCTGCCAGGCAGTGTGACTGCATGGTGACGACCTCCCCTTGAGCTGGGTCACTTCTCAAGGTCGCTCCTCAAGGCAGAGACCTTCCCGCAACAGCACCTTTGGATGAGCCCATCTGGAGCTGAGCCCCAACTGCAATTGGACTGCACGCCAGGTGACTCTCCCCTTGAGCACGGATGCCTCTCAACGTTTAGAGATTCCTTATCTGAATCTAAGAAAGCCTTTCTTACCCAGGCGGAGAGACCCTTGCTTGCCACAGATCTTCGGTAAGTGACTGATGGCATGCTGAATTAATACTGAGGAAACATTACTAATCCATATAGCTACTTAGTAATAAGTAATAAGACTGAAGCTAGCTACATCGAGGCTCCCTAAGGAGTTTAGAAAGCCAAGGGGGCCAATCTGAACTTCATGACTCAACAGGAGGGTGTTCCTTACCCTTTGTGTTTCTAGTCTCGTGTGAATCATTCTAACTCAACTTTCCTTAATAAGTTTCTTCCATGCAGTAATAGAGTGAACTTTGCCATCGAACTTTGTTAAGTCAAACTTTTATGACATCACGTTAAAACCACTTTTGCTAATACCTTTGATGGCGATTCTTTAAGTGTTCTAAATCCCTCATCTGTGACACTGGAGCATCCCCTACTCCCTTCCAAACACTGTGGTCTTTCCATGCCTTCTGCAAAACAAAGTGCTAGAGGGCCCAATTGCTAAAACAGCAGCAGTTTCCATCAGGCTTTTGAGAACACCTCTTTCTTTTGATTTACTCTAACAGTAATTTCCTGGGGAAGACACTGCTTCTGTTTTACTAAATAAATAAATACTTAAGTGAATGAGTGAATGACATGACTGTGACAGAGGCTGTGACTTAAGAGGTACTGTCTAGTCTTATGCTTGTTCTACCACCCACCAACATCTAAGGCAGCTGAGTGTGCATTAGCTTTTCTATTTGGAGACTGAAGTTGTAGTTCTGTTTTCAGCTTCCACTCACATACCACAACTGTCTGTGTGGATGCAGCTAGTTTTTGACAAGCACCAAAGAAAAAGAGATACATTCAACTGTGCCAAGCGACTAAACTCTTCTGCCCTGTTGTAAAGACAATTAGTGTTGTAAGTCTCCTGGTTCCACAGACAGGAGATATTTTCTTCCTGCAAAAAGCTCTCAGTGACACTTGCCTCAAAGCATTCAATTTCTGCATAGTCAATTTCCAGACCTTTCTTCAACCCACTGTCCCCATCCACAGTGCTCAAAGTCAAGCAAAAAAACGCTCCCCTTGGCTCTGGAACTTGCCTTGCAGCCGCCTCGCCAGCTCCCGGGTGAAGAGCACGTTAGCCAATTTGCTGTGACAGTAGGCGAGGCCACAGTTGTAGCTCTTCTCACCATGGAGATCATGGAAGCGGATTCGGCCTCCGTGATGAGCCAGGGAGGACACGTTCACTATGCGGGCTGGGGCAGACTGCTTCAGACGCTCCAGCAGCAGGAAAGTCAAGAGGAAATGACCTAGGGGTGAGACGAAAGGTTATCCTCTGAAGGGTGCCCCTGCTTGCTTATATGTTCAATCTTACTGCTGCCCTCATTTCAAGTCCGGGAAAAACAAAACCCCCTTGAATGAACAGCTAAACTTTTTTGGGGCCTTAAAGTTCTGCTCCTCATCTTCAAAAAGTTGGAGCTGTCATACATTTCAAAATGTCCCAAGTAACATGTACAGATACTTAAACTGGATCCATGATAAGCAAATACACCACACTACATCTCCAGAACTCTAACTCTGGCCTTCCATCCTTCCCCAAGAAGACAGAATGAGAAAGAGAAAATCTGAAAGCGAGATCTTCCCTCAGCATTTTGCCTCAGATATTGGTGTTGAAAGATGACAATCTTTTAGGTCCTTTCCAACCCAAACCATTCTACAGTTCTTATATTGAGTGCAAACATGATTCCACTGGCCTTACCAAGATAATTGACTCCCATATGCATCTCAAAGCCGTCAGCGGTCTTGGAATAAGGGCATAACATTACCCCAGCATTATTAATGAGAATATGGAGTTCCTTCTCCTCTGCAAGAAACAACAGACATCCTTAATCAGGGAAACAGAGAATGAAGACCGCACACATCAGCCAAAAACCCTCTTGCTGTCTGAGTTGCAGCCACATCACCATAAAAAAAAAAAAAAAAGGGTAAGTCTCCTACCACAAACTAGCTCATGGCCTCTGACCTGCCCCTGCTGTGAACCACAGTACCCAACATGGTACAGAGATATGCAGGGCAGGGATTTAGCATTGGCTAGAAGAGCAGATGGCAGTCCTTGGTAAAATATTCTCACTGAAAAGAATGATCTAGAGACTGTACCTGCTAGAAATTTCTCAGCAAACTCCCGGATTGACTTCGTATCAGCCAAGTCCAGCTTTTTCACAATGACTTGCTGGTTCCCTGTCTCAGCTCGGATTTCACTGGCTGCAGCTTCTGCCTTTGCAATGTCTCTGCAAGCAATGATCACCCTCGCACCTGCAAAGAGGGGAGGGGAGAACAGCAAGAACAGAAACAGATCACTGGAACACATTGGATGATCAAAGCTACAACAAGGAGGCTGACTTTGCACAGCATTACGAACAATATATTTTTTCTTTGGGGAACTGGCATCAGTCAGGGGAGCAGCTGTAAGGCACAAAGCCTTTCCAACTATATTGTAAGCTATGATTCAACCAAAGGATGCTTTCAGACCAAGAAAAAACATCTGAAGTGCCTCTGTCCAGGTTCTCCCAGGTCAGGAGTATGTACCACAACACTGGTATGAGAGGGTTGATCTGCTTTATAATGGGAATGTCAAGTTAGGGGCACATAAAGGTACTTGGATACCAGCGTAATTTCTAAACGGATTGTGATCAGGTAATCTTCTTATCAGTTACCCAAAAAACCAAATTAGCTTAAAACATGAATAAGTAAAGCACACAGCAGTGGACCTATGGCATTTCCCAGCTTCATACAAGCAGAACACAGTGATAACTAGGAACTTCTCCAGCCCTGTCAAACCAGCTGCAGTGCAGAGCATTTCCATGTACCCAAGGCACACTTCTGGAGTTCAAGCAATGAAACCAGTTTGAAGAACTGGGGACTTGCACCTCAGTAGTTACAGACTCTGGAAGACAAACACTTGGGCTTATCTGCAATAACGCTGGAATCAAATTGACATCAATGTAAGCATGAAACAGTCCTCTGTTAGGTCCAGACAAGGGACTACGGACACACAGGCACGGCCACCTCAGCCGCACAGGGATGCCTACTGATGAGTTGTGACTTGCCTCTCCGTGCTAGGTCTCTGGCAGTCTCCTTCCCGATGCCTGTGTTAGCTCCTGTGATTATCACCACCTTTCCCTCCATCTTCGCTGTCGACTTACAGCGTCCTCCAGCGACATACCTCCTGCAAGAGGGGAAGGCACCAGTCACCTCAGCCTCCCTAGGGGGCTCGGGCCGGGGCTGAAGCGCCCAGAGCCACGGCGTTCGCCCCAACACTGAGGCTCACCGCTGCGCTCAGGGCGCCGGGGGATCACGGGCGCCGTCACCCGGAGGGGCCGGTCCCGGCCGAGTCGCCACCGGGGCACCGGGAGCGCGCCCCGCGCCCCGCTAAGCCGGGCCCCGCCCATGCGCCCAGTGGGACCACGGCTCCCATTGGCTGTGGCCGCGCGCTCCGGGTCCTTTTGCCCAATGGGCTGCGCCGCCGCGCCCTGAGGTGAACGAGGGCTACGCCCCCTGCCGCCCCTCCGCGAGCGCCGCCGGTGCGGGGCCGGGACAGAGCCGGGGAAGCGCCGGGCGGGCCGTGGGGTAGGCTGAGCCCCGACCCCGAGCATCCCAGCTCCTGCCGTGAGCGCGTCAGTGGCACCGGAGCGCTGGAGCAGGGGAAGTCTGAATGATTCCTGAGCGCAGCGCAGGCTGGGAGCGCGGGGTTCCCGCTGCTCGCCCTCCCGCCACACGCACACGCACACACACAGCCTCGCCCTCAGAGGCGCCGCGCGTCCCCTCCGCGCCCCTCGGCAGCCGCCGCTGCTCCGCGGGGCCGAGCGCGCGCTCGGAGTCGGGGCCGCGCTCGGTAAGACGCACCTGATGTAGGGCGCTGCCACGAAAAGGAGGACGGGGACGGAGACGGCGGCGCCCAGTGCGACTTCCCAGCAGTTGAGCATTGCTGTCGCCGCTTACCCGCGCTCTGCCGGCGCCCGGCGCTTCGCGGCCACACCACCACCCTGCCCCGCCCCGCCCCGCCCGGGACACGCCTGGGACACGCCTGGGACACGCCCGCGCCAGCTCAGGACACGCCCACGACACCTCGAGACGCGCCTCTCGCGGCACGCGGAGCACTCCTGGACGAGCCGGGCGCGCCAGCTGTTCCCAGGGACTCCAGTGCTGGACACCCGGCGGGCCGCGCTCCCCGCCGCGGGAGTGCCCCCGCCGGGAGTACCCGCGCGCAGCGGGAGGCCGGCCGGCTTCACACCAGCAGCCCTCTGCTCTTTACCCCGGGCAGAGCACGGCTCCGACCCGCGTCCCTGTGTTCATCCTAAAGCCGCCGTCGTACTCGCATTCCGCAGTTACTAAGCCGCGAAGTGCCCGCGGAGGCAGCGCAGTGGCGGCTGTCAGCAGCGGCACTCGGAACACCTATTCACACCCCCCGCCGAGGTGTCTGTCATTCCCCCTCGCAGAGCAGAGCGCACGCAGTGATGCGCACGCCGGCAGGGCCGAGCCCCGGGAGCAGCAGGACGGTGCCGGCTCCCGGTGCGGTGTTGGCGGCGCAGGAGCGCCCCCGTGCGGGGCGGGCACTCCCGCCGGGACTGCAGCTCCCGGCAGGCAGCGCGGGGCGCTCCCGGCGGCGGAAGCGCCCTGCGGGGCGGGGGCAGCGAGCGCGGCTGTGGGGCCATGGCGGGCCGCGGGGCTGGCTCCTCGGAGCACCTGGAGCGGCTGCACGACATCTTCCGCGGCCTGCACGGAGACCTGAGGGGCGTCCCCGAGCGGCTACGGGGCAGCGCGGCCGGTGAGGCGGCGGGGAGGGGCGGCCGTCCCACGGGGCCGGGGCGAGGGTACGGGCGGGGCTGCTCCGAGAGCGGGGCTCGGCCGCCCCTTTGACACGGCCGCCCCTTTGACACGGCCGTCCCGGTCCCTGTCGAGGGGACACGTCCCGGCCGTATCGAGGTCGTTCGGGTGCTGCTCGTCAGACAGACGTGTCTGTGCAGCGGGGGGGGCAAAGTCCCTCCGAGACACTCTGCGTGCGGGGAGATTTGCAATTGCAGAGATTCGGGACCTCTCGGTAGCGCCTGCTTGTAGGGGACGGGTGGCCGTGCCAGGTCCGGCCTCGCCCTGTGTTGTTTTCAGCTGCTGCCGTGTCCTGGTGGCTTTGCAGGTGTGTGGCTCCACTGCCCTGGAGCACCTCCTCTGGGCTGGCAGATTTCAACTCCAGAGCCAAGCGCAGCCGTGCTAGGCTCACAGCATCATCTCTGAGGAGGTGGTGTTATTTGGATGGTCTTCCGTGCTGTTTCTAGTTGAACTGGAGTTGTTTAACCTGGCGAAGAGGAGGCTCAGGGATAACCTTCTCACTCTCTACAGCTATCTGAAAGGAGGCTGTGGTCCGGTGGGGGGACAAGAGGACCTGGCCTCAAGCTGTGCCAGGGGAGGTTCAGGTTGGACATCAGGAACACTTTCTTCATAGAAAGGGTGATCAGATATTGGAATGGACTGCCCAGGAAGGTGGTGGAGTCACTGTCCCTGGAGGTGTTTAAAGAAACACCGGATGTGGCAGTGGGTCTAGTTGACATGGTGGTGTTCACTCATAGGTTGGACTCAATGGTCTCAGAGGTCTTTTCCAACCTAATTGGTTCTGTAACAACTGCAGTGCTCTGAGGTTTTGATTTTGGGTTTTTTTCCTTTTTTTTTTGTACGTGTGTGTGTGTGTTAGGCTCGTGTTTAAAAACTCATCAACAGAACTAAAATTAATTTTTACTATCACCAGTGCCCACAAGCATCTGTAGAAGATTTCTTTACTGAAGAAGGTGTACATTTTAAATTACTGTTTTAAAAGTCTGGTTTGTGCACTACCTACCCCCCAAAAAGAAAAAAAAATATATATCTAGCCACTCAAAGTGGTATTGGAAGCACAGCCTGATTTTACGGGTACTCTTTATGCCACATCAGTGGCAGAACAGTTCTCTGTAAGGCTTTGTGCTTCTGATTCAGTTCTCGGTATTCGCAGTGTTTTGAGAACCGGAAAGGGAAGTGATCAAGGGGAATTTTACCAGTGTTACTGAATGCCTCTGCGTAGTCTCTTCCTATGAGAGACCTGGTACGTGGCTGTCATGAGCTGCTGTAGCCTCAGTTCGGGCTTTGTACCCCAGCGATGGGTAGAGGCTGTCATCCGTGCTCTGCAATAGTCTTCATTCTCCCACAGTTGATCAGTTTAGTGTAAAATCATAAAAATGGTTTGTTCAGAATATACCAGGCTGTGCTAGATTACACAGGCAATGAAAAGTTTAATGTCCTGTTTCTTACCTGGCTTTCTGTTTAATGAGTTAAATTCAGAGTCACAGTCCTTGTCATCACCATTTCCAGGAAGTTTAGTGCAAGAAGGGTGTTCAATCCTGCGAATAATTTCAAAACTGACTTAATTTCACCAGGATAAAAAACATGAAAGAAGAAAAACCCTTTCTGGTAGAAATCCGTATTTCCCTGTAGAACAGGGAATGGTCAGTTTCTCGGTGACATAAAACTTTGTCTCCTTGGAACTGGGGTAGTCTTCAGCAATGAATTCTGAGCCATTGACTTAAGTGCAGGATTTACAGGCAACAGGTCTTGTAATGCTTTGCTTTGGTTTGGTTTGGTTTGGTTTGGTTTGGTTGGTTTGGTTTGGTTTGGTTTGGTTTGGTTTGGTTTGGTTTGGTTTGGTTGGTTTTTTTGTGGTTTTTTTTTGTAATTTTTTTCCCCAACAGATTGCAAATAATTGCAAGCTGAATTTTTAGACATGCTAAGGAATTAAGGAATTTTAATATGACTGTTCTGCTCTTTAAATTTGTTCCTGCAAAAATCCTGATAATATTTTTTGAAAGTGTTTCTAAGAGAGTTTAGGATAAGTCAGGAATTTGTCTATCTGGTGTAGGCATTCCACTCTCCTAATGTGTTCAGTTTGCTTCTTGTACTTACGGCAAGGGAAGTATATCTTTGTTTTTTGAGTTATCTGATCCTGAAGTATTCAGGAGATGGTAAAAGGTACCTTGGAATACTCTTTTAAGATGATTGACACAGTCCAAAACTTGGGTGAAGACAAAATCTGTAGTCCTTGGGATGTCTTTGAGGACCAAAGGTTTGGAAATGCTGTTTCACTCTATATAAATAAGATGAGAAATCTCTAACTCCTTTTGGAAGCTGGCATTTCTTCGCCTGCATGTTTATGCATGTTTTGGCTGCAGCATCTTCCTGGTCCATGCAGGGAACATGAAGCAAGAAAATGCCCCTTTTCCAGTTCTCTGCCAGGTTTCCACGAGTTTGAGGCAGCAGTTGATTTAAGAGGGCACTACTTAAACTGTATTAGTGAAATGACCTGTATGAAACAAATTGTTGACTTCTGAAGGCTCTTTGTCTGCACTTCATGACTTCGCTTGCAACCCAGCTACACAAACAAGGGCATTAGCACAACTGCATATGGGAGAAGTTGAGGAGAGTGTATTTAGGAACCTAGAAGTCAGCATTTCCTCCTGAATAAACTGGGATGTGAAACTGCATTTCCTGATACCAGTTGATCTCCTGATGTAACTTAGTCTGTAATAATTCCTTTCGCTGAGAGCATAACTTCTTCTTAGATAATGGGTTTTAATTCTGTCTTAAGTTCTCTACAGTTCAAATTCTGGGGCTTAATGTGAATTTGAACTGAGAAGGAAAGCCTACAGCTGAGGCGTGTTGTGTATGTGAGAGAAGCTATATAACAATGTCACTTCAGATTTTTTCCTATTTTCTGTTGAGAGCTTAGTGGTTTAAATGCTTCTTCTTTTGCAGAGGACTATGTTTACCAAAAGGTATTATCAAGTAAGTTTTTTTACCGCAATGAAATTTTTGTGATATTGTATTTAATTTTGCCTTTAATCAAATTAGAGGAGTTTTACCAGGATGACAGTTTACATGTTTTACTACCCAACATTTTACTTAAGATTTGATTATACTCTTCTGAAAGATGAATTAGGCTAGGTGGATATTTGTCAGACTCCTGATAAAATTTGGTTGCATTTGCAGTACTTTACAAGAGTCCACTGCTGTTCATTTTCAGATTTTTTGCAAAAGCTTGCAGAACTTGTTTCCATTGAGATAAGGGAACTTTCAGATTTATACTTACATTGATTGTGGATGTTAGAGAGGTATGGAAGATTTTTAACACATGAAAAATATGGGCCTTAAGGTTTTGTTTAAAAATAGAGTAACAGCAGTGAAAATCATTCTTTGGTCTCCAAAGCCCTGGGCACACGGATCTTAGTAAATTACTGCCTCAAACAACTAAAATGTATAGTTTTGTTGGCTGATCCAAACAACTAATGTCATTCCAGAAGAGGGAGGCCTTTGGGCTTTAAGCCATGAACCTGAGGTGATATCTCGATGGCATCTTTTATCTCAGAGAACTCTAGAATGCTTACCTCATGTACTCAGGTACCTTATGACCATGAGAATGCAGGGTACTGGGTCTGCCAGGAACTTCAGGGCTCAATTGGAAACGTAGATTGACTTGATGTTCTGTTCAAACACAAATTGTTGTTTCAGCCTTCAGTAATCTTGCCAAATACTTAAAAAAAAAGTAAATATTTATGAGCTGTTCACCAGCGTGTCCTGTTTGCTATTCTTACACCCTAAATGTTTTTCAATGCGCAATTCTGTCAGTGGACGTTGGAGGACAGTAGGTCAGAAAAATATTTCAAGTTTGGAAAATTACTTCTTTTGTCTACCAGAGGTAGTGGCCAGCATTTGGAAGAGTGATTTCAGCTCTCTCGACCCACTCCCTTCTGAAAAGTTGTCAAAAGAACAGAGTGTTCCTGTTTGAGTTAAATTTTGACTTGGTGTCTCTATAATCAGCCGCCTGTAGCAGCTTCCTCATTTTTAATGGATTGAGTTGGAGTTCTGCTGCCATTTCTCTGTAGTTTATCTGACATACTGCTTTATCTTTCACAGAGGAGAAGAAAAAACTGGTTCGAGAATTTGACGATAAACAGCGCGAAGCCAATGAGACGGTGAGTGTAAGGCTGGGCCTCTGGCCTTCCTGATGGTGGAAATACTGCAGCCTTAAAATGACAGTACTTCTTCCAAATGTCAATTTTTTATGGATTCTATTCTGGCAGGAAGATGTTTTATTTTTTTAATGTTTGATTAATTGCTTTGATAGGTGTGTCTGTGTTCGTCAAGACTCTTGTATGTATCTATATAGATATATAAATATGACAAATATTCTTATGTGCATTTTGAGGGGGTTTTGAGTGCTTGGTTTTGATAGCACCTTTGCTTTGTTGAACAAAGGAGAATGAAGGAGGTGCAGTTAGAGTTGCCAGAGATGGTAGGGAGAACATGTAGAGAATCTGCTACTTGGGGTTTTTTCCCCCTAATGTTGGTTTTAGCACATCTGATCTCTCTATAATAGTCTGATGGTTAAGTATCAGGGACCTTGAATATTTGAAACCTCTGCTGTATAGGCTTGCTGGACAGCAGGTGACATGGAACAGCACCAAAACAACCATGCAACTTGTGTTTTTAAGCCAGACATTATGGATTAAGCTTTCTTTCCATATTCAGGTCCTATTTGTTAGGTTGTTTTTGAGTCACAGCTGAACATGATGCTTTATTCCCCTAACTTCTGGGGTTTATTGACAGGTATCTCTGTAGATGATGTATGAGTTGTGGAGCTCATAGCTTCTAGCTGTTACTAGAAGCTGATGTGAAAATTCATGCATCCAAAATCTCAAGGTTTGGAAATCCTAGCTCCAGTTGCCAAGCTTGGATGTTCAGAGTGTGATTTCAGTGGCTACCTGTGCAATGGATCCAGATGAGGAGAAGGCTGAGGTACTCAACAACTTGTTTGCCCCAGTTTTCACTGGCAGCCTCATCTCATCTCTCGAGTGAGTGGAGTGCAGGATGAGGATTGGGGGAGCAAAGTCCTTCCTTTAGGGAATGACCAGGTTCATGACCACCTAAGAAACCTGAATGTGTGTAAGTCTATGGGACCTGATGAGATGCATCCCAGAGTCCTGAGGGAATTGGCTGATGGAATTGCTAAGCCACTCTCCATACATTTGAAAAAGTCATGGCAGTCAGAGGAAGTGTCAGGTGACTGGAAAAGGGGAAACATTGCACTCATCTTTAAAAAAGGTAGAAAGGAGGACTCTGGGAACTGCTGACCTGTCATCCTCACCTGTGTGCCTGGGAAGGTCATGGAACAGATCCTCCTAGAAGTTATGCTAAAGCACATGGAGGACAGGGAGATGATTTGAGACAACCAGTACAGCTTCACCAAGGGTAAATCCTGCCTGACCAACCCACTGGTCTTCTTATGAGCAGTGACTCCCTCCGTGGACAAGGGAAGGGCTACAGATGTCATTTATCTGGACTTCTTTAAAGCCTTTGATGTGGTTCCCCACTACATCCTTCTCTCTAAATTGGAGAAACATGGATTTGATGCGTGGACCGTAGGTGGATGAGGAATTGGTTGGATGGTTATATTCAGAGGGTAGTGGTCAACAGCTCAGAGTCCCGATGGACATCAGGGACAAGTGGTGTCCCTCAGGGGCCCATATTGGGACCAGTCTTCATTAAAGGCATAGACAGTGGGATCAAGGACATCCTCAGCAGATTTGCAGACAACACTGAGGTGAGTGGTGCAGTTGACACACCTGAAGGACAGGGACCTGGACAAACTTGAGAAGTGGGCCCATGGGAATCTCATGAGGTTTAATAAGACCAAGTGCAAGGTGCTGCACCTGGGTCAGAGCAACCCCTGGTATCAGTATAGGCTGGGGGATGAAGGCATTGAGAGCAGCCCTGCCAAGAAGGACTTGGGGGTGCTGGTGGATGAGAGGATGGACATGAGCTGACAATGTGCACTTGCAGCCCAGAGAGTGAGTTGTATCCTGGGCTGCATCAAAAGCAGCGTGGCCAGCAGGGCGAGGGAGGAGATTCTCCCACTCTACTCTGCCCTTGTGAGACCCTCCTGGAATTCTGTATCCAGATGTGGGGTCCCCAGCACAGGAAGGACATTGACCTGTTGAAATGAGTCCAGAGGAAGGTCATGAAGATGATTAGAGATGGAGCACCTCTGATATGAGGAAGGGCTGAGAGAATTGGGATTGTTCAGCCTGGAGAAGAGGAGGCTCTGGGGTGGCCTTATTGCAGCCTTTCAGTACCTAAAAAGGGCTACAAGAGAGCTGGAAAGGGACTTTTTACACGAGCATGTAGTGATAGGACAAGGGGTAATGACTTTAAACTGACAGAGGGTAGGTTTAGATTGTATATTAGGGAGAAATTTTTTACTTGGAGGGTAATGAGGCACTGGAACAGGTTGTCCAGAGAAGCGGTGGATGCCCCATCCCTGGAAGTGTTCAAGGCCAGTTTGGATGGGGCTCTGAGCAACCTGGTGTAGTGGAAGGTATCCCTGCTCATGGCATAGGGGTTGGAACTAAACGATTTTAAGGTCCCTTCCAAGCCAAACCATTCTGTGACGGACCATATCCATGCTGCACAGATATGATACAAAGCTGATACCCATTGTATTATGGGCACTGAAGAAATGAGGCTGCACATACCATGATTTGGTTTTCAGGATTCTCCGCAGAGCTCTCTCTGCGTTCCCCTTTTATTAACCTCTTTGGGTAAACAGCAACTGGTGTTGCAATTCAGTTAACTGGAATTCCCAGGACTTTTTGCAAACTCAATGTTTTGATTCACACATTTCTCAGCTCCAAGGCCAGAATAGTCCCTTTCGGTTCTAATCAACTGAATCCAGGTGCATCTGGCTCAGCTTAATCCCACATTGCATAAATGCTTAAACTATAAGAAAGTGAGAACTGCAAATTTTGAAGTTTAGAGTGATGTTTCAGGGAAAAAAATTCAAGCACTTAAGCTTGGCAACTTTTATTTTTCTTGAGGCATTGCATGTCTGAAAATCCATGTGGGCTGAACAGCATTGTTGTCCTCGTTACTAGATAGAGGTATAGGGTTTGAGATTAATCCCCCTCACCCAGTCCAATAAAAACATGTGAATCCCTTCATCTGATGGTGAGTTTTGAGTATAGCTGCTGCTGAGAATAGATGTGGTGCTTTAGCAAATAAACATACTTTCTTTTGTTAAAGCTGCGTGAAATGGAGGAAGAACTGAAGTATGCTCCCCTGCCTTTCCGCAACCAAATGATGAGCAAAATCCGAGCGTACAGAAGAGACCTGTCCATGTTCCAGAGAGAGATGAGAAGCACAGATTTGGGATTGGGCCACGGAAGTCAAGGCGATATAAAATATGGAATCTTCTCCACAGAAAATGAACAAAGTGTGAGGATTAGATGTAAATTTTATTTAACTTTGCTGTGATTGTTTAAAAACGTTATTGCAGATGTATTGTTTACAGTTTTTCTACTTTAAACCACTTCTGTGCTTTTATAATTCCCTATATATCTCTCTGCATGTAACAGGAAAAAAGGCAGGAGAAAGAACACCTGGAACTCAGAGGAGAGTTTTTCTGTTTTAAAACAAAGATAGGAGTATAATCAAAATGGAACTTCCTGAAAGCCATGCAGTTAGTAACTGGCACAACACTCTGTACTGAAATGCCTCATTTAATCATCCCCTACAGAAGTGAAAACATAAAAGTGATGCTACTGACTGAAAAAAAAGCTTAACTTTCCTAGTTTTAGTCTCTAAAACTAGCAAAGTGTGAACCATGCATTGTATAGGTTCTTTGGTAAAATTCTCTTTTAAGCGATCTCAGTGTAAGTAATTTTAAGAAAATATAAGAACTCTGGATCCTCTAGCACTTTATTCACTGTGGTTTTGCCGCTACAGTGCAAGAAATACACCAATTTCTTTGTTTACCAGATATGCTTAGAGATATCTGAGCTAGTGAGACTGAATCTCCTCATTGTTTTCAAAGTGCTGTGATCTGTACAGAAAGTTCATGGACGTGGACTTTTTGTTTGTCTGCCTTAGATAAGGAAGGTTTGAGGGAGGCTCTTTCCGTAGTATTTCCTTCTGTGGTAGCTTGGTAAATTTTTGTATTTGATTCCTACTTGACTGAATCCTCTAAAACTTGAGAGCAGGGTGGTAGCTTTCTGAAGCTTAAGAAAGTACTTTATTTTGAGCTACCTTTTGATGCCAAGGTCAGCAAATATTCCTTATCCTCTAGCCCAGGCTACCGGCATGAAAAAGATCTTTGTTACTTAGCAGTCCATCTGTTAGTGCTGTTTGTTTCTAATCCTTTTGACTTAAACCCTTACTGATCTCCCTGGCAACCAACTGTGAATTCACAAATAAGGCTGACTTTAGATGTGAATGGAAGGACAAGGTAGCATCTGGAAAGAAAGATATTATTTTCATGTAAATGTTCTTTGATGGAAAAGTAAATTGTTGCAAAGGTGGTTTTTTGTAACTGTTTTAACTCTTTAGAAGTGTATCCTTTTTTGAGATTTAACCAGATTTATCATGTAACAAGGCTCTGTCAAAATTAACTGGGCCACATCATTTGACATAAGAAGCATGTACAGCTAATACAAATGGATGTCCTATAGGCTCATATCCTAACTTTTTAATATGTCAGAAGCATAATACTTCTGTCTTTGTGCTTAATAGTTAATCATACATTATTTTTCAGACTAATCTGCAGTCACAGAGGGTGCTGCTTCTCCAAGGAACAGACAGTCTGAACCGAGCCAGTCAGAGCATTGAGCGCTCACACCGAATTGCTGCCGAAACAGATCAGATTGGCACCGATATAATCGAAGAACTCGGGGAGCAGCGGGAACAGCTGGAACGCACCAAGAGCAGAGTAAGCAGGGAAGCTGTGGGAATTGCCTTGAAACAACCTGATGTTAGTTTAGGGGGAACTGTGTGCCAGTAATTACTCTGAGACACCCCCCTAGACATAGTAATCCAACTGGATGTTTCTACAGACCAAATCCAGACTGCCACATTTCTGTGCTGTCCTCATTAAAAGAAAAATAATTACTGTAGAAGGGCCCAAAGCATGGTGGTCAAATGTCTACTGCTGCACAAAATTAGATACTAGACCTATAAACCTGCTAAAAAAAATACCATTACTGAAAATATTACAGATTAAAAAATTGCTAAGAAGTTGCCCACCACTAGATTAATAAAAGTTTAGATCTAGGAAGCAAATTTAGCAAGTTTTTGTAATAAACTTAAATTTAGTAGAAGTTTAATTACTTAATTACTATCGTTCCAATATTTGTAGGGAGGGAGAAAGTGGTGTCAGACAAGATGCCTGTTCCTCATCCTTGGTTCAAGACTCTGCTTCTACTGTGAAAGCTTCAAAAATTAGTTCACTTGTTTTGTTTACACACATATGCAAAACTGAGAATTTGATTTTTGAAGTAACAAGCTGATGGGATTTTCTGTGTGTACAAGGGATCCTGAGTGTAAAGCTTTTAGGTGAGTGACTTGTAGGGGGATGGCTGAGTTTGGCAAGCAAGCACACTCAGCCAAAACAAAAAGCATACATACCCCTTTTCTTAGGAGTTATCATCTCTATTCATTTCAACAAAGCCTGTAGCTTTTTCATTGAAGTAGTTTTGTCATTTCAGTCAGAATTTGATTTGTCCTGTTCCTAAATTTGGGTTGGAGAGCAGGAAAGGAAATTGATCTTAAGACTTGTAGGTATAGTTTTTGTCCTTTTTTCTAATAAAAAAAGATATAGTCTTTCAAGCGTCTCAGTCTAACAACAGATTGCTCATAGAAGCCTGGAATTGTTCAGGCTGGAAAAGATCAAGTCCAGCCATTAAGCCAGCACTGCTGTGTTCATTGCTAAACTGTGTCTGTGACTTGTATTGTGACCCTTTTAGGAAATGTGTTGCTAAATTGTGTGAACCACAAATTGCGTGAACCACATGCTTCAGCTGGAAGCAGACTTTCTTCTTGTTTGTTCTTTCATAGTGAAGACTGGAAATCTACTAAGTAAGCTCTGAATGGACTTGATAGTTTTCTTCCCAGCTTCATCCAGTCCATCTCAGTGCAAGTAACATACGTGGAGGGCCAGTTTTGCAGCTGAGGGCAATAGTTTAAACCACAAAGGAATTGTGCAGGAAGGTTCTGTGACATAAGACCTAGCTTACACTTCACTTCCCTAGCTTTAAAAGTGGAACAGCGAAATCTTACCTGGGGACCAGTGGCCATGCATCATGGATCTTGCCTCTGTCTGTGAGGCAACACCTTTTTTAGTTGGCTATAATGTCACTTAATTACGTGGTTCTTAATAGCTAACTGGATATACTAGACAGTTAATTTCTGAGCAAAGTTGAAATGGACCATCTATTAACAGCTCAGAGCTCCTACCCACTGGGTCACTTAGACCTGTCAATGGAACACACTTCTTTCTTTGCTAGAAATTGAAAGACATTTCAAAGCAGTTTGATATGCACTGGGAGGGAACACGTCAGTATAATTTTCTTATATTTCAACTAGAATAACGAAATGAAATTTAATGAAAGGATCTAATTTCTGATATTTCTAGATTAACTAAAAGGGCAGAAAGAGGTCCTAAATTGCACATCTTTGTATATGTCTAACAGAAAGTATACATAAAAGTCTTACTTCCTCCTTAGAAAAGAGGCAATGATTCCAGATGGTATTGTGTGTAGAAAGCAATGTTGTCTCAGAATTTTGAGAGTACATGGTTATCCTTGGTCCCTTTATTAATTGCAACATTTCAACACCAGCTGCTTTCAGGTGCATTTTTATAGAGCTGATGTATTTGTTCAACTGATTTCTGTCCTGTTCAAGTAACTTCTGTCTCTTCTTAGTTGGTGAATACAAGTGAGAACTTGAGCAAGAGTCGTAAGATTCTACGTTCAATGTCCAGGAGGTGAGTAGCGTAGCTGACAGCAGCACAGAACAGTGGTGCCTGCTGGTTTTAGAGGGGAAAATAGTAAGTGTCAGCTGGAACTGCAGGGAGGTTTTAGGGAATGTGTAAACATTTGTGCCCACATGCAGGTGCTAATTTGTGTGCTTTCCTCCCTTGTAGTTACTTAATGGAGTACAGGCAGTTGAACACTACTGAATTATGCTGCTCTGTCAGGATAGTGTGGAATCTTTAACCATCCAAACTGCAGTGAGGACACAAGCAAGTCACAGTGAATTGCTAATGGTGACTTTAGGTGCAACTTCTCCTTATTCAGCTTGGAAAAACGGTGCCATCAGTCGCTGCAGCATTAAGCAAGTTAGATGTCTGATGACACAGACAAATCTGTTTAGGCCACAGCACTGCCCTAGAGCAGCTAAGCTATCCTATGAGACACTGAGCCTCATCATATACTATTTTGATGACTAAAGCCTTGGATACTTAAGTGGATTTGCACTTTCTTAACTATATTGTTTAGTTTGCCTTACAAACCAATTCATGGATTGTACTTCCAGTAGGTACTTATCCCCTAACAAGCTTTCCTTACAGCCATTGCTGAAGGAAGTTATGATAAGTGTATAATTTTCAATAGTAAAAGCACATTTTTATTTTTATAGCTTTACTTCAGCCATGTAGTTCCAAGGAAAAGCACCACAATGAGGGTTTTAACATATAAGTGACTTTACATGACATTAAAGGATTTAGCATTTAAGTGACATTAAGGACTTCAATTGTTGTTTTCCTCTTTGCTTAGTTGAATAAGTAGGCAAAGATAGAGCAGTGATCTGTCTTCTGTGGGGCAGGGACAGAACTGCTATTGTTGAAATAGAAGATTTCAGCAATTTCCAGGAAAACATGAGTAGTAAATTGCTGTTTGTCCCCTTCTGCTTGTAAGAGCTATTTGAAAAGCACTCTGGGGTCTAGCTGAAACAGGGACTATACTTACAGAAGGTAAGATGGTGATCTAGATCTAGCATCTACTTTCATAAACCAGTGGGGGGAAAAAAGCTATCTTCGATTTTTATTTTTTTTTTTTTTTTTTTTTTAAACTCTAGAGTAACCACTAATAAGTTGTTGCTGTCAATTATCATCATCCTGGAACTGGCCATCCTAGGAGGTGTGGTCTACTACAGGTTCTTCCGCAGCAAATGAATCTTCATGACAAAGATGAACTTTTCCACTGCTGAGGAACAGGAGGGGCTGTCTCTTCCCTTTGATTGTCTGAGGATTGAACTGAGTGGTGAGATAGCACATTCACCTGAAACTGTACTGACACTAAAAAGACAGAGAATGGGAGTAAAAGGAAAATGCAGAGACAGACTTGAACTACTGGTAAGATTATTAAGAAGGTAATAAATATTTTATTGTCTCATTTTGTATATACTTAACTAAATGAATAAATTTTGGTATGTAATAAAGTAGCCACCAATCAATGGAAAAGCTAGTTTATTTAAAAATTGAGAAGTTAACAGTATTTGCCAAGTGTTGACAATCCATCCACTCAAGTGCCTCAGCCAAGCTCTGCCATGTCCAATATACCCAATGCTTTGGGTTCTTAAATCCTCACTTGCTCTTCACTGTCAGATTCATCTGGAGAACTGGGTGTTGGGAGTCCATCAAAAGCGGTGTGTGCTCCTTCCCTCGTCTGCCCAAAGCACGATGCTATCACATCAACTGCAAGACTAGCAGTTGCATTCACTGCTTCTTGAGAAGCTCCAAGCAATGGATTGACTTCAACCATGTCTACAGCTGAAAGCATTCCTGTGAAAGTGATTCACAGCTTTGTTACTCTGACAGAGGGTACAACATCCTGCAAGATTTCTTTAGTAGCCTTTTATTCATTGCAGCAAGTCTGATATTTGGGCTTGTGACCCCTTGGACAAGTAAGATTGGCTTTCAAATGAGGTTATTATTCTTGGATGCAAGTTTGTGTTTTAAACTTGGTTCTTTCTTACATCACCACTACCTCATCCATTCATGCATTTAGCATTCAGGAAAACTAAGGCTGATGTTCCATACACATTTATGAGAGGAATTATTTTAATCTTGTTTTCTCCCTGTCCAAAAATGAGGGGATATAAAAAAAGATCTCATCTAGTATTCTTTTGCCATCCTATTCATGATTCTATTGACTCTAGTGTCTGGTTGTGATTTTTATTTCCTTCTTTTACTACAAATAACATTGTTTAAACACATTAAATAAAACCTCCATGGCATAAGATGAAAAGTCCTCATATATCAAGTCAACTGCAGTATATTTTGTGAAAGCTTGATTTGTTAGCCTTGAATCCTAGAATAGAACTTCAGACTGTTTAAAATTGTTTGCATGCTTTTTTTTTACTCTGGATCCCATTTTTACATCTTACCTCACGTCTTTAGGATTAGGGAACAGTATTACCAATTTTTGACATTAGTTGTTAATATATTGCATATTTTATTTCCTTTTCATAAGTTGAAGCTTTTGATGGTTAAGCTGCTTCCAACACCATTGGTATTGCCCACTCATAGGACTTTTTGCCCTTACTGAAGGCTGAATTGACTTTACAGGCACTTCTGCTTTGACTACATTTATATCTTATCTAGTTATGCAGGAAAAACATAACCAGCATGAGCTCTATGTATCTTGTCCTGTCCTTGCTTAGCCCCATACTGCTGGTCAGCTCCTACCTGTGTTGTGTATTTCCTCTGTGATGTACATGCCTTCTCTGTAAGTTAATCCACCTAGAACAGGAGTCCCCGTTGCTGGAGCCAGTGAGGGATCAAAAGCATCAATGTCAAAACTCAGGTGAATTGGTCTCTGTCTCCTGAGGCAGAATAAAACAAGAAAAGCAATCTCAGAACCTTAACTTTTTCTACATTCATTTCCTACTGTCCAGGCTGATCAGCAAAGTAGCATTGAGCTCCATGATGCTGAAGGCTTCCCCTATACACTGTCTCATATACATTTAGAAGGATTCTTTTTTTAAAATATCTTTGGACTCTCAAACATCTCTTAGCTCAGCACACATGGGGAAAACAGAAATTCGTCTTTCTAGCTGAGCATCTGCTAAGGTGAAGATAAGTACTTTAGTTCTAACCACCTTATCTGATATTTGTCTCCTTAGTTGAAAAAATGTAGAGAAATGCATGATACAATCCAGCCTTTTCTACTTTAGTACAGAAAGCCAGGGTGACAGGCTGAAACACTGATGTGCACGGCATCTAGGATGGAAGAAGCACCAAGCTTAAGGATTTCACTGACAGTTTAGAAAGATGAGCATTTTTCAGGTCCATAGCTGAAGGCTGCCTCCAAAGAGTACCATGTAGCCTAGCTGAAGAAGAAAAAGGATAATCTCTAACCTAAAATGTTAGTTACTTACTGTATTAAGTCTGCCAGTTGATGACAGCGTAATAAATTGGACTGTTTGTCACGAGTTATTTAAGTGGTAGATTGTGCACTTCCAACTTACTGCAGATGCTCAGTAGGGAGAAGCATCTGGATTAGCACCTTTTTTACTTGGCACAGCTGCAGCTAGGAAGGGTGTGCACACCTTTAGAAAACAACAGCATGCAGCACAGGACCTAACCTGTGGTGAGAGGTTACCCTTTCTAACTCTGACCCTCTCCCTGCTCCTAGACTATCATGATACGCTCCCTGACCAGGTTCCCCAAACTTGAACAAGGTTAGCAAAGACAGCAGTAGTGAACTGCAGCAAGGGAGCGGTCACAGTGAACTTTACCAGCTGCACTGGAAGTAGCAGCCACCATCAGGACAGCATGGGTGAGCACAGTCTTAAGGAGGAAGCCTTTAAATGCTTCCACCTTACACACTAACAGCTGAAGGGTTGGACTTGATGATCTCAGAAGTATCTTCCAACCCAGTTAATTCTATGATTCTATGCTTTCTATGAATTCAAGTTACTCTCAAATTGCTATATGTGTTTTTTAAAGTGTAATGGGTATCCTGGACTCTGAGTTGATTCAAACACCTTATCAAACTGAGAAAAATACAGAATTCCTTAAAAAACAAAACAAAGCATATAAAACAGAGCCACAACCGTACTGACTAATGTGAGCTGTCTCATAGCTTTTTGCCAAACACACTGAAATGGTTCCAGTTCAAGATGTGCAAGTTGAGGACTAAAGTCTAAGGACTAAGACTTTGCTATTTACTGGACATTGTCACAGTTCTGTACAGCTGCCTGACATCAAGTGACCACTTAAATAACTTTCAGGAAAGTAGATATTCAACAAGAATAGTTGAAATCAGATAATAGCTTGTTACCTGCCCATCAGCTGTTCAAATGTTCTTTCCATAACTTTCCGAATTCCAAGGTGATCAATATCCCTCATGGAAAAATACTGGATGTCAAAGTTCTTCAAAATATAGCTGTTAAAATAATTTTTAAAAAACAGTCATTACCAGTCTAAGCTTAAATCTAGCAATGCATGTGAACATCATTTCAAGCTCATGATTTCAGCCTTTACGAAGAGCCCTTTAATGTAAAACAACTTACTATTCAGCAGGATCCACATCCCTCAAACCAATGTACACAATATCAGATGCTGAAAGACAGGGCTTTAGCCAGGAAAAGCCAGGAAGTTGTGGTACCTGAAAGCAATGGTTTGGTATTAGGTTCGTTTAATGACATATACAACAAAACTGTATTTAATGGTTCCCTCAGAAGTTGTTATTTATTTATAACATCCTTTCTCTGTCTAAACAGAGAAACTTGAGAGTTTCCTGATGTAATCAGTCCTTACCTTCAACTCAGGTAAAGTGGTACAACTTTACCTGAGTTGAATGTTAATGGATGAAGTTTTCAACTCTTCTACATTCTCCATTTTGAAGAGGAAGGGGAATAAAAAGCCCAAAACCACAAGCAGTAAATAATTAGCATCAGTGAGTGTAAGAGGGAATGATAAGAAACTAGATACCCAGGCGCAGATCACTGACCCAGTGCATTTAATGGTAGTGCTGCGTCACTTACCCAGTACATCATGCTTAAATGGAAAAATGAAAACCAAGGCACCTGTATCTTTTTGGGAGAACCACCAAAGTCATGGAAACCTTCTTCCAAAACCAATATTAAAAATGGACAAACTCAAAGTAGGAAGTTAAAACCAAAAAAAATTAAAAAGAAAAGAGCAGGACAAGATGTTGGGCCTCCACAGTGGGCTACATCATACTAGTTTTAATACAGAACTGAAGAGAGCAGACCTAGGACAGCAACTGAAAGATTATGAGATCACCATTTTTCAGCTTTGGTAATTAAGTAATCATGTTATGCAATATAAAAATCATTCAGTTAGCAATATCTACTAAGTTTAGAAGTGCTTTAAATTAACTCATATTTCTCTTCTTCTGCCACCTCTGAAAATGGCTACAGCCAACACAGCTGTCAAGCAGCACAGTGGCTTTGTTTCCCTCTTATATTTCTCAATTACTAATTATATTCTAGTTACAAGATTGGATTTGTTTTTGAAGGCTAACACATACATAGCTATAATTTAGTTACATTGGGATTAAATTAGCACAGATTATGAAAGTATTTGTTACTCTGGGGCAATGACCTATGAATTCAGAAGAGGGATAAATGGAGACCACTACAAAACATAATTACCTTTTCCAAAATTAACAACTGCAAAACCCATCACCATACCATAAACTGAGCATAGTATTGATAAGACTGTTAGTCTTTAGTATCAATGATTCAGCAGCTTTAGTACTGCCAATTTTAAATACACCTCTTTGTCTATACATAAATAAAATGGAATGCCTTAATTGCCTTTGGTAGGCTCTGGTTTTGCTTTGTTGCAGTAGAAAAGGAGTTGCTGGTAGTAAAGCCAAAGGTGCAGGTGTTTTCATGGCTAATAGCAGTTTGTGAGTTTGAATGGTTCCAGGAGCCCTGAAGCAGTCAGGAAAGGAGGACAGTAAATTTTTTTGTCCTGTTATCGACTTAGCTGCTCTACTAGATGAGAGAGTGAGCCACATGCACTTGTGCACACATACAATGTGTGCACATGTAACTCCAGAGAGTCAAGACAAGTATTAGCCAAACAA